CCCACTTCACCTACAATACTTATTGATGCTACTTGTTAACTTGTGAATACAAATAAATGGGATAAAGAAAAATAGACAGCCAGTTGGCAGTTTAAGGAAACAGAAACAACTTTTTTGTGTTGCGTCAAAACAGAGATTTTGACTGTGTGGCTCTATACTGCATGATTGACTCCAAACCTGTGATGGGAGGAATGTAAGTTATCAACTGAAAGTGGTGTTTACATCTGGACATGAAATAAGTGCCCTAGGCAGAATTGTTTTCATTCTTATATTTTGCCAGATCTGTCATCTAGCTGAATTCATTTCATCTCTCCCTTTTTTATATAGTCAAGTTTGAATTTGAAATAATTTTTGTATACTCAGGTACAATTTATCAAAACTGAATTGAGAAAACATTACAGTATTATTTCCCAAAATAGCATCAATCTATTTTTGTAAACCTCTTCGTACTATTAAATTTTGCCCTGAAAAGCCTCTTAAAAAAAAAAAAAAGGAAAGAAAAGAAAGAAAGGAATGTCTTAAAACTCAGAATGGCACCAGGCCCCTCATCCATAAGATGTATTTTGGGATAATCTTGGCACCGGAAGAGTCATCCCAGGCCATAAAATGATTGACTGGAATCCTGTAGACAGTCAGATTACCATACAAATAGTTTCGTTTCCATAGATTAGGGGAACAATGTCTGAATATAACATAATGGTTTGTCAAGTAGGTTCTGAACCATTAGGCAGAATGGACCTCAAGACAGAGTTTGGGGTAAAGGCATAGCACATTAACATAGCTTAAGACAAACATTTCCATAAGAAGAGTGCATTGGTTAACTCAAGGTTTGAGAATAGTTAACTTCAGGTGGAACCAGGTGTCATTATGGCAACACAGTATTTTAAGAGAAATCTCCTTTTAAATTTGTATAGAAAAGGGGGGAAAAAAAAAGCATCATTCCTGCCGCTTAAGAGAGAGATAAAAATGTCTGACACTTGAAGCCTATTTCCTCTGTTTGGAGACCCCTGGCCTTTCTGCCTGTTACCCTCTCAGAGAGACACCCACTGTGGATAGCAGGGGACAGGCAGAAGACAGCAGCTATAGTTTTCTTTACTCTGAGGGGATAAGGAGTCTACCAGTTACAGTGGGAATGAACAGCAGATTGGCCCATTGATTACCATGGAAACCAGAAAAGGGCCACATCTCTCTTAGCCCCTCAGGCTAAATGCTCTCATGCGTCAGAGGTCTTTTCTTTGTTAATTTAACAGCAAACAGTCATCTTGAAATGGGCAGAAAACACAAAGGAAATAACAAGAGAGGGGTGTTAACACCCTGTATATATCCATGCATACTCAGTCACTTAGTTATGACCCCACTGTTTGTGACCCCATGGACTATATCCACCAGGCTCCTCTGTCCATGCTATTTTCCAGGCAAGAATATTGAACTGGATTGTCATTTCCTCCTCCAAAGTATCTTCCCAACCCAGAGATTGAACCCACGTCTCCTGCATTGGCAGGCAAATTCTTTACCACTAAGCCACCTGGGAAACACCTTCACTTGTACCAAAGTTCCTGTTCTGCCGTCATCTGTCAGAATCGGCAGGACTCGTGGTGATGATCTGAAGATTCAATCAGTCTTTCCTGGTGACTCAGACAATAAAGAATTTACCTGCAATCCAGAAGACCTGGGTTAGAACCCTGAGTCAGGAGGATCCCCTGAAGAAGGAAGTGACTAACCACTCCAGTACTCTTGCCTGGAGAATTCCATGACAGACGGCCCTGGCAGGCTAGTCCCTGGGCTCACAAAGTGCTGAAATCGACTGCATGAGTTATCCGCACACATATATAAACATATATAGTGGCTTTTGTGTATTATAGTTGGTAGGCACTAGCGAGTTGTGACTGCTATAATTTACTTAAAGGCATGTTATACATGTGTCAAAACACTTGTGATTTCAGGATGGTTAGCATGAAGGTGAGAGCTCTAGTGGACATGTAGAAGTGAGAGGTTGAGAATTGACTTTTTCAGCATCTCTACCTTTAGGTTTGCAACTGATATCAGTGACTTACTGAATGACTGTGACTGCACAGAGCACAGATGACTGCCATCTGCTATCCATAGTGGGGTGTCTCTTCAGGACCTTGGGAAAAAGGTCAAGGTGATGCCGTGAGATCCAGCAGGCCTCAACTGGAGGATATGTGGGTGGGTTGCTCTTTCTAACCACCTTTCTGCTCATGGCGTGTACTGTGGAGGGCATTTGGTGCAGTGATGAGAAAGGGGAGACAGGTAGCTAACAAGATTCCGTTGGGATCTGATGGGAGAGGGTTCTGGAAGTTAAACCCTCTGTTAACCCCAGAGTTAAACTCTGTTTGGTGGCTAAGAAAAGTGAACATGAAATTAAGAAGAAGGAAATGTGTATAGAATTCTGACTTATTCTTTACATATGAAATGATATGATAGAGAAATTGTGTCCTGGACTTGCATTGTGCTCTATTTCTAATCAGCTTTTGTTGCTTTACTCTTCAAAAATTATTTTTCCTATAAGAGCTGCTCGTTTCTGCTTTTTTACTAATATGGAAACCTGGTCTCTGGTCAGCACATCTCGGGTATTGTGCACTGCAGGCTGTTTTCTATTGCATGTTGAACTATGAGGACCATATCCTAGTGGGCACAAAACTCTCATTGTCAGTTGACACTGGAGACCACGTCCTTGCAGTGCCTGTGAGGTGGTGGGTGAGATGTGAACTCTCTCCTCCTGCACTTTCAGGACTAGTGACTTCCCCTCATGTTTGTCCTCACTGTTAATTCCTCGTGTAAAGGGCGCTGCCGGGGGTGGATGAGTCACAGCACACAGGTTCTGGGGTCCCTGCCCGGGCTCGGTCTCCTGGGGCTCTTCACAGCCTCTGCAGCAGCCAAGGCTGATGTGCTGAAGGTGCTTCCGGGTGAGAGGTCCATGTCCTGCTGCTCCTGGAGACCCTCCACATCTGCAGATTCTAGAGTCTGTGAAGGGCCCGCTGGGCTTCCTCACACACTTGCTTTCACAGCCCTGCTGACCTGGTCTCCTAGGATTGAGCATTCCCAGGGCAGCAGGTCCTGGGGTCACTGCTACTCTCAGAACCCACTGCTGCATCCAGACAGTCTTGCCCCTTCTCCCCAACCCAGGCCTGCCCCATCCTCTCTCCTTTCCTTACACCTTCCCAAGTCTCATCCCTCCCAATTTTCCAAGTCTCAGTGCAAACCCGGCAGCTACCACATGTTTATGGAGGACCCTTGTCACATTATTCTGGCTAAATGAAATTGGAAGTGTTTGCCTCTATCCTTTCTAAGGGTCTGTGAAACTTGAGGTGTTGCTGTGAGCATTAAGCATCTCCCAGGTAACTCAGGTCACCCCAGGCAACGGGAGAGTCTCTGTTATGTGGAATTTTTGTCCTTCCCTCCCCCAGGGCTCAACACACTCTCAAGTCCATGCCAGCTCCTCCCTTGGAGAAATGTATTGGTTAATTGAGTAATGGACTGATTGGAGACAGTGGCCATACACCGATGTTCCTCCTTCTAATGTGTCCACATTGCAAACTCTAGGGTTGCTAGAGGTTGAAGGAGGAAGTAAAGTAACAGTGACTAGAGGAGAGAAATAAGGAAGCAATTAGAGAAGAAGCAGCAGGAGAAGGAGGCAAGGAAGGTTGTGGGCAGAGATGCATGGAGACAGTGACCACCTGGAGGAGGAACAGATTGGCACAGCCTCATTCTTGGTCACACATAGGCAAGTTGAGGGTGGCAACAGGATGTTGGAGGTCAAAGGTCCACTTTTTCACCGAAGAGGTGAAACACCAAGGCCCTGGGAGTTCCCTGGAGACAAGGGCACCACAGTCCCCTGGTCACATCCTGACTCTAAATCTCCCCTTTGCTTTCCCACAGCCATTCCACAGGAGTTCTGCCTGGCAACACCAGAAAACTGAATGGAAGATAATGAAGAATTGGAGCAGAAGAGCAAGAATATGGAAGTCATTTACTGTCAGGGGACGTTCAACTTTACAGAATCCAGTAAGTTGCATTTTTTTTTCCTTTGTGTGCCATTTCTCAAGGATTCTCTGTTCCTTATCAGTTCCTATTAGGGGAATGAGTGGAGCTGCACACAGTTCTCATCACTGAGATCACAGGAAGGGGTACCTGCTTGGATTCCTTCCAGTAACTCCCTTCAGTGACTCTTTTCAACGTCAGCGGACTTAAATGTATTAGATTATCCATTTTGTTGTAACTGATGGAATTTCATTCTTTGTAATGGCTAAGTAAACATTTTACTAAAGATATATAAGCCTGTATTTCTGCTAATAAAATACCCTTGCTCCACTCAAGACCTGGGTCCCCTGTGGCCTTCTTTCTGTCTTCATTCTCGGCAGAGCGTGGAAACCTACCGAGCTCACTTTCTTGCCCTGGCTTTCAAGACCTCCTTGAGAGGATGCCCTGTGCTTTCATGAGTGGTACAAGTCCTGTGAACGTTGGTATTCCATGTAACCCGAGAGATACTGCTCTCTCTCTCTCTCTGTCTTTTCATCGATTCCAGCCCACCAGGTTCTGGTCTGTATTAATGAGTGACCATTTATTTCTTCTTTCATATCTTTTACTTTTTTTTCTCTTTTTCTGATCCATAGATTCTTCCTTGTAACCCTTTCCCATCTACTCTTTGCATCTTTTAATGATTACCATTCTGGAGGACCAGTTCTCTTATAGGCAGTTGGGTTCCTGGGACCTTATATAAAATCTATGAAATCTGTCCGCAGCTCTCTTCCTCCACTTTCTTAGCATTGTCCTCGCTCCTGACCTCATGTCTGCACCCTTGAACCCGGCTTTGTCACCATGAGTGGCCTGAGCAGGAGTTGAGGCTGGAATCAGTAAGTCTGGACCCACACATCTCAACAGGCCCCATGAAGTCTGCACTGCCCTGGGCTACCCCATATGGTTGCTTTCCTGCCCTGGGAGGGATTGGAGCTGCCTGACTGATCTCTTCCTTCCAGATATCAGAAAACTCTCTGCTCATCTTTTTGAGGGATGCTTTGTGGGATGTCTTTGGTGATGATGAAGACCTGGAAGAGCAAGTGTGAATGAAGGGCATGGGATGAAAAGGTGAGGCCAAAGAGGGCACATGTCCGCATCATGTCCTGAACTCACTTGCTGGTGCTTCAGAATCACCAGCAAAACCCCTGGGGTCTCCTGTTGAATGTGACCAAAATAGTACAGACAAGAGGTGGTAATGATCCACACAGATAAGTGGAGGGTGCCCTGAGCACGTCTCCCCGGGCGCAGGTCCCGTGCACTGGCGCCCCCGAGCTTGCTGGGCTGGCTGCTCCGGAGGCTGGGTGCACTGAGGGCCGCCGTGCGCAGGAGTCCAGGAGCGGCTGCCCCAGCGTGTTCTCCTGGAAGGTCCCCGCCGGGGGCTTCCTCACCTCCCTCTGCAGGGGAGATGCAGCTCTGCCCCCCAGACCCCATAAGGGCAGCAGGGGGCACCCCTGGTTCATCAGCAGCTGCAGAGAGATTGGGGTGGCCCCTCCCTCCCCAGTCCTGGGCTCCTGGGAACAGAGTGAAGGAGACACAGGCTCCCAGAGCTTGTGCAGGCAGGGGGTCCCCTGGCATCTCCACACCCCTGTGGGTGCTCCCTGGTCTTGAGGGTCCCAGCCAGCCTGGGGGGTGCCCGAGTCTGGGGTCCCTCAGGTTCTGGAACCCCAGGGTCCTGGGTCACCTCAGGGAACCATCCCTCAAGCTGAAGTTGGAGGTTCTGCAGATTCTTCTCTGTATGTGTACAACTCCAACTAAAGAATACCAGAATGCAATTTAGTGCCATGTGCAACTTGGGAGGGTGCTGCTAGTGGTGAAGAACCTGCCTGCCAAGGCAAGAGACACAAGAGACTCAGCTTCGATCCCTGGGTAAGGAAGCTCCCCTGGAGAAGTGAACGGCAACCCACTCCAGTATTCTTGCCTGGAGAATCCCAGCGACTTTGGACCCTGGTGGGCTATCATCCATACGGTTGCGCAGAGTCAGACATGACTGCAGCAAATGAGCAGCACACTTGGGATGAGTGGCAGGATTCAAGTTACTCATGTTCTTTTTATTTTTTATTTTTTTCCCGTTCGGTCATTAATAACATATTTTGATATATTACAGTTTAAAAAGCAGTGTGTTCTCTCAGATTTCAGTGTTATAATATGCTACACAATTAAAATGTCCTTTTTTAAAATTACAACAACATAATAGCAGTTTAAAATCATAAATCTCAGGAGCGTTTGTAGGTTAGAAGCAATTATTAGGGAATATTGAAACTCCAGGTATCTGTCCATTTCCAATGTTGAGGTCTCAGAAGCAGTTGTACTGAATGTAGGATGGGTAAGCATGTTCTCCTACCCACTGTGTCATCTGGCCTCCTGCTCTTCCCAGGGCCTAGAGGAAAAGGGGGGAGGGGGCAAGCTTTTAGTCCTGGATCCCAGAGTCCCCTGTTCTTCTGCCTGAGTCTCACTGTCCAGGGAACCCATCAGTTGAGGGTTGCCAGCCAGATGCACAGGTGTACTTGCTTCTGTGGGACGTTTCTAGACACTTCCCACTAACAGACAATGCCCTTAGCAAAGAGCAGCAAACAGGCCCTGTGCTCTGTAGATCTGAGCCCCAAAGCCAAGTCTAGATCCTGGGAAGTCCTCTGGGTCCTGCACTCCTTCCCCAGGGCGCCCTCTGCTGTCTGACTGTGCACCTCCCGGGGACTCCTCACCTGTGCTGGTGTTGCAGGCTCTGCTCTGCATCCCTGAAGACCTGCACCTGGATGTCATCCTGGACCCCAGAGTGTTGTTTGGTTGTATACATTTAGTATTAGTTTCACCTGCTGTTTTATATATAAACTCTGTATGTATCTATATGTTCCATATTTATATGTAAGTTTCTTCATTTAAATATTTTTTATCTATTTTTTTTTATTTGGTGAATACTCAATGTATAGAATAACACCTTCAACAGAGGTAGAACTTAATGAATTGTTGTAAGCCAATCACCTCAGTGTTCAGTAGAGAAATAACTTAAGAAAGAATGAAGGGATGGAGCCAAAACGAAACAACACCTGGTTGTGAATGTGACCAGTGAGAGAAGCAAGGTCCAATGCTGTAAAGAGCAATATTGCATAGGAAACTGGAATGTTAGGTCCATGAATCAAGGTAAATTGGAAGTGGGCAAACAGGAGGTGGCAAGAGTGAACGCCATCATTCTAGGAATCAGTGAACTAAAATGAACTGGAATGGGTGAATTTAACTCAGATGGCCATTTTATCTACTACTGTGGGCAGGAATCCCTTAGAAGAAACGGAGTAGCCATCATAGTCAACAGTAGAGTCCAAAGTGCAGTACTTAGGTACAATCTCAAAAACTACAGAATGATCTCTGTACATTTCCAAGGCAAATCATCCAGTATCATGGTAATCCACGTCTATGCCCGGATCAGTAACGCCAAACAAGCTGAAGGTCTATGAAGACCTACAAGACCACTTAAAACTAATGTCCAAAAAAGATATCCTTTTCATCATAGGGGACTGGAATGCAAAAGTAGGAAGTCAGAAAACAGCTGGAGTAACAGGCAAATTTGGCCTTGGAGTATGGAATGAAGCAGGGCAAAGGCTAATAGCGTTCTGCCAAGAGAACGCACTGGTCATAGCAAACACCCTCTTCCGACAACACAAGAGAAGACTCTACACATGGACGTCACCAGTTGGCCAACACCAAAATCAGATTGATTCTCTTCTTTGCAGCCAAAGATGGAGAAGCTCTATACAGTCATCAAAAACAAGACCAGGAACTGACTGTGGCTCAGATCCTGAACTCCCTATTGTGAAATTCAGACTTAAATTGAAGAAAGTGGGGAAAACCACTAAACCATTCAGGTATGACCTAAATCAAACCCCTTATGATTAGACAGTGAAAGTGAGAAATAGATTTAAGGGACTAGACCTGATAGACAGAGTCCCTGATGAACTATGGACAGAAGTTCGTGAAACGGTACAAGAGATAGGGATCAAGGCCATCCCCAGGAATAAGAAATACAAAAAAGCAAAATGGCTGTCTGAGGAGGCCTTACAAATAGCTGTAAATAGAAGAGAAGCAAAAAGCAAAGGATAAAAGGAAAGATATGCCCATTTGAATGCAGAGTTCCAAAGAATAGCAAGGAGAGATAAGAAAGCCTTTCTCAGTGATCAATGCAAAGAAATAGAGGAAAACAACAGAATGGGAAAGACTAGAGATTTCTTCAAGAAAATTAGAGATACCAAGGGAACATTTCATGCAAAGATAGGCTCAATAAAGGACAGAAATGGTATGGACCTGACAGAAGCAGAAGATATTAAGAAGAGGTGGCAAGAATACACAGAAGAACTATACAAAAAGATCTTCACAACCACGTTAATCAAGGTGGTGTGATCACTCACCTAGTGCCAGATATCCTGGAATGTGAAGTCAAGTGGGCCTTAGGAGGAAGCATCACTACAAACAAAGCTAGTGGAGGTGATAGAATTCCAGTTGAACTATTTCCAATCCTAAAAATGATGCTGTGAAAGTGCTGCACTCAATATGCCAGCACATTGGCAAAACTCAGCAGTGACCACAGGACTGGAAACAGTCAGTTTTCATTCCAATCCCAAAGAGAGGAAATGCCAAAGAATGCTCAAACTAGTGCACAACTGCACTCATCTCACACACTAGTAAACTAATGCTCAAAACTCTCCAAGCCAGGCTTCAGCAATACGTGAACCGTGAACTTCCAGATGTTCAAGCTGGTTTTAGAAAAGGCAGAGGAACCAGAGATCAGATTGCCAATATCTGCTGGATCACTGAAAAAGCAAGAGAGTTCCAGAAAAACATCTATTTCTGCTTTATTGGTATGCCAAAGCCTTTGACTCTGTGGATCACAATAAACTGTGGAAAATTCTGAAAGAGGTGGGAATACCAGACAACTTGACCTGCCTCTTGAGAAACCTATATGCAGGTCAGGAAGCAACAGTCAGAACTTGACATGGAGCAACAGTCTGGTTGCAAATAGGAAAAGGAGTACCTCAAGGCAGTATATTGTCACCCTGCTTATTTAACTTATGTGCAGAGTAGATCATGAGAAATGCTGGGCTTGAGGAAGCACAAGCTGGAGTCAAGATTGCTGGGAGAAATATCAATAACCTCAGATATGCAGATGACACCACCCTTATGGCAGAAAGTGAAGAAGAACTAAAGAGCCTCTTGATGAAAGTGAAAGAGGAGAGGTGAAAAAGTTGGCTTAAAGCTGAACATTCAGAAAACTAAGATCATGGTATCTGGCCCCATCACTTCATGGCAAATAGATGGGGAAACAGTGGCTGACTTTATTTTGGGGGACGCCAAAATCACTGCAGATAGTGACTGCAGCCATGAAATTTAAAGTCACTTACTCCTTTAAAGGAAAGTTATGACCAATCGAGACAGCATATTCAAAAGCAGAGACATTACTTTGCCGACACAGGTCCATCTCGTCAAGGCTATGGTTTTTCCATTAGTCATGTATGGATGTGAGAGTTGGACTGTGAAGAAAGCTGAGCGCTGAAGAATTGATGCTTTAGAACTGTGGTGGTGTTTCTTTAGGGATTGAATGACCAGAGGATATTTCAGATTAGACTTTTTATCTCTGTGGCAATAAATTCCCCCAAATTAGTAGACCAGCTTCTTGGCTTCTGGGCAGTTGTGCAAATAGGCAACCATAGCAAGTGTGTACATATATAAAGCCTCAAGACCCTGGTCTTTTATTCACTGGACTCGGTATTATGGCCACCTCCACCACCAGCTGACTGGTAGCTCTTCTGAGGCCATCTGAGGCAAATAACACTCCTATTCAGATCTCTGCTGTGTTGGCCCTGATGCTTGGCATTGGACTCTATGTGGAGGTGTTTAAAAAAATGCTTGGGGAACTCTGATGTTAATGACACCACTATGAGCACCTCTTGATCATGGTTTCTTTTTGCAATATAGTTGGTTTTAAAACAAGAAACCTTACTCAGATTGTAGAAAAGAGATCACCCTGAGCAGACATATTCCTTTCATTTCTGTGTAGAAGCTATTTCTACGATTTCCAAAACTAGAATAGAAGCAACCAACATCAAGACCAGAGCACTATGGCGCTGTTTACTAAAGTTTTGATCAAATATTTTCCTACAATGCAATAAAGATTATTGCTTTGTCCACGTGCAAATTTAAGTCTTTGATGCCTACGAAGTTAATACCATAGATTTTTATTTAAGTGTAGCATTTCTAATGTAGACTGTTGTTGTTCAGTCGCTCAATCGTGTCTGACGATTTGTGACCTCATTTCTTCTCCTACATACCATTTCTTAGAACCATTAGACCAGATTTACTGGATCCCAGGGGATGGAAACCCCCACTGTTGCCAGAAGACATCCTGACATCAACCCTGGCAACTTCATGTCTCAGCATAGTATAGAGTAGAGAGACATGATTTGGTTGGAACAGTTTCAGGATGTATTATTGCCTACATTCCAAGCTACCAAACCATGGATGTCAAGCAATGCCCAGAACAAATTAGTCTCAGAGAGCCAAGCTTACCCAGTTATTTTGTTAACTCTAAAATA